CTTAAATAATACAGAGATATTACTAACTTATAAAATGGTCCGTTCAAACATACTTCTTCCCTAGTTATGGTATTTTGGCACTTGTGTATAAAGTTAAAATCATAAATAATATTCAACGTTAAACTGATACACAATTAAAAACATTTTATTTAGGCCTATCTATGGCCTTCAAAAAGTTGACGACTCTACATGTTTCGACGTTACAATGTCATCCTCAGATAGGTCTAACTAAAATGTTTTTAATTGTGTACCAGTTTAACGTTGAATATTATTTATGATTTTAACTTTATACACAAGTGCCAAAATACCATAACTAATGAATGAATATTTGCTGTAAAATTCTTACCAATGTTATAAGTGTAGCTATCAGTTTGGCCGCCAATTTGGATTTAATTCCTTTAAATCGCATGCTGAATCCTTTTTTGGCCACACCTTTTTTTTTCACACCTAAGGTGTTTTTGATTAAATATCATGATTTTTTTGTCAATATAAACTAACAAACCACATCAAATAAGAATGTGACACTCGATAGTGACCAACACTAGCTTTAGGATAGCAACTCTATTATTCGGAACAGAACTATACTTTACAGAACTAACTACATTCTTTAAAATATATGGTGGTAGTTTTCCTCTCTAAAACAGTGTTAATAACTTCCATTATAGTAATGCCATGGAATTTAGATTAACAGTTACTTGTCATCACCCCATGCAATCGATGCAGCCGTATTAAACATCAATATTTATGCTAATTGCTTAAGCTAATATCATGTGACGCTAAACGCTCTTTAATTTTGCAAATTTGTTCTGAAATTGGCAATCAATAATCAATAATAACCGTCCACCCGTATGATTCTTTTGAAAACCTGAGATAGAAACTGCTAATCTAGTTTGCTTGGCCTAACTAATACTTATGTATCTGCATGTCCTTTCACGTTATATTTTTACTACTATAAGTCACTAGTCTTTATCCCAATGACAAAAAACTAAAAATGATCCACTTCTACTCTTAGGTGAAGCTGTAGTAAAAATATTAGACTGATAGCTCACGTGACTTTTTGCGTTGGCGTGCGCAAACATTCTCGTTAAATTTGAGCGGGTTTTGTTTAATAGCTTTGCACATGTGGCTTATATTTATACCAAATGAGACTCTTAATTGTAGATTGTAAAGATCTATCAGTGTACCAACTTTGAAAAAAAAATGCATAAAAGTTAAGTATGTTTTCTATTAATAGAATTTCCATACTTTTGGTACGAAGAAGAAAAATATAGGAAGAAACTTTGTGATGTTATATCTCGGGAATTTCTTAATAAATTACCTTACAATTTGGTATGTGAAGTAAGAATCCAGTAGAGTACATCCACTGAAAATATGTGATAGTTTGAATTACCACAGTCCGAGCTACAGAAGGTGGAAAATCGCTAAACTATCACTCCTGTTAATAACACAGCTTGTCCTGCAGGTTGTTTTTGTTGCTGCAAGACACACTACCGTGTGACTTGATTTCAGTCAGCCAAGCTTTTAATAGACATTATCATAGTTTACACACGAGGAAAGAAAAACATTCAACATGTCGTGAAGGGTAAACAGTGAAAATTGACAGAAAAGAAGATTATGGACACTAGAGGTCGCCCCTAAATTTTGAATCCTTACCATTTGGTACTGAACCACAGCTGCTTTTTCGTTGAACCACTGAAATCTCGAAGCCACGACCTGAACCGTAGTTGTCACTGTAGAACGTAAAGGTTGCTGAATCACTCCCAACAGGAAACTCCACTAACCCTAGATGGGCATCAAAGAATGATTTAGCAACCCAAAATCGAGAAATAGTGGTTATAAGTGTTTGAACATCTTAGAGTGTACTCAACATGTAAGTTTCATTTAAATTAGAATACTATGACGAAATTTATCTTAACTTTACCTCAATATTTCGTTCATACATATTTTCGTTCACGGCTAAATTAAAAAAGTTGAAAACAAAATTATAGCTATTGTTTGAATTGGTAACAAAATACTTTCATAAAGGTACATAATACTTTAGTTGTTGTTAATGGAAAAGTAAAAAAAAATACATAACGCAACTGAAGCAAAACAGCTAAACACAGGAACAGACAAAATATTATCTGTGGAATTTAAACAGGTCACTTAGTCCAAATATTAAATATGTTATTCAGTTCCAAACACATTACCAATAATTTTTGGCAGAGTAATTTGTATTGGTGTTGTCTCTCAAGTGTCGTCATTCTCAAAATTCCAAAACGATGTGGTCTATGGAAGAGAACTCCGACAGCAGACATTGTTTTTGCGTATTTATTTCAAAGTGTTATTTTATAAACTAGTGTTTCAACTTCACTTACTACTTCCAGAAATCATTCCGCAGAGACGAGTTCCGTCAGGAAGTTCCAGAAAGTCACGTGAACACTTGTCTCGCGAAAATTCGATGTCAAATTGATGAAAATCTAATTCCACAACACAAACGGATGAATCCGCTTTACGTAGTGTGTAAGTGCACCGCTGGTTGGCGCTGTAGTCGTTCGGGTAAGATGGCGAACTAAAAATTCCTATATATGATGCAATTTCCTGATTGCATTTACCTGAAAAACGGTTATTATAATTGAATTGAAATTAAAAATTAATTAAAATATGATCGATTGTTTTATGTATGTATTCCAAATATCACGTCTTATCAATACAATAGGACTTACTCTTGTTTTGATATAGATTTTCAGACTTCTCATCACACAGTATTATTCGAATTAATTTATCGGCAAGTCAATATGACTGACACAGCCGAATAAAAGACATACGTACACTAGTTCTTACTTCCATGTGAGGTTTAGATTACAGGAGAATTTCTGATATACTTAACACTTAATTAATGAAACATTAAAGTTGAGTCCAGTAGAGTTACAAACTTATCTTGAACCTAGGTAAATTACAAAACTTACTCTGTGTAAAAGAGATTTATATTCACTTAAATAAACATTCAAAAAATTAATATACAGACAATTAAACAGTTATAATCACTTTAGAAAACAAGCAAATATGTTTATTTAACATTCAGATAAATAATTTGTTTGTCATTAAACACAAAGCTACACAATAGGCTATAATGCTCTAACCACCGCAGGTATCGAAACTTAATGTTTTTCGTCATAAACCCTCAAACTAACCGCTGAACCACCAGAGGTCTAGGTTTATAAAGAAAATAATATGTGGTGACTGTAAAAGCCGAAGTGTTTGCGAGAAAATGTGGATTAATTTTTACTCGACATAAATCATACAAGATGATGCCAGAGTGAACAAATTTAGAAGTTTATTGTGATGATAAAACAGGATAAAATACAAATAACGTTAAGCCTGATTTTTAGATAGAAAGAAACCTCTAGGAATAAAACTATCAAATATTTTGGTTGGTAATAAATAAATGCTTAGTTAATAATCAGAGAAAGAAAACTTCACAGATAAACAATACACTTGGTGAAAGTGTTTACTCCTAGCTTAACTGTGCAGCAGACAAAACCAAACCTGTATTGTTTTTTCATAATTTCTAATTTTTTATTACAATAACTTCTAGGCATATTTTTAACATTAACAGTTCTCGTTTATTTGTTTGTTTCAACTTCTGCTTCTTCGTTTGGCTTTAGATACCCGTGGTGGGCATAGCACAGATAGTCCATTGTGTATCTTTGAGCTCAATTACAAACAAACCCATGGTTTTCAAATGACAGTTAGGGGTTCGTGTAATTTGGGCCCAACGTAAACACTCAACAGAGTACTTGAAATCATGTGAAAACAAAAAGAGAGACTCCAAAAAGTATGTAAACGAAAAAAAAAAACTCTCAACGGGTCAAAGTAACAAAATTGCCATAAAATAGCATTTTAACGTTCAACAGAAACTGCAAAAAAAAACAACAACATAAAAGTCTGAAACAATTCCTATTGTTTTCATAATGGTTACTTATTTTTGCACAAATAAATAATATATTACATCTCTTTTAAATTTGAGTGTAAAAAGAATATCAGGCTCATAGCAATTAATATGTTCCAAGCACACAAAAATTGAGCGGAAGACAACAAAACATAAAAGTATTAAATAGCTAAAGCCTAAATTTGAGTTTAGCTCGATGATTAAATAAATTCCTTCTTGTTTGTCTACAAACTTACCGGACGACGGAGATCCTCCACATGAATCAAGCATCTGATTGACATAAATCTCAAACCCTTTACCGGATCCGTATCCATCACTAACAAATTGAAGTGACACTGAATCCAGTCCTCGTGGAATGTTGATTATTTCTGCTTATAATTTGACATTTGTGGGATAAATCAAACGACATAAATACTCATGTCTCACTCAGTAAATAACAATGAACTAATCAGAAATAAATTGTCTCAAATTATGACAAAACAATAAAATAAAAACACTTTACAAGGTCTGTTTAGCGTGTGATCCTAGTTCATTTCGTTGAAATAAAAATTTTGTTTAATCTGTAAAGATTAGTAATTAAGTACTGAGACTTACAAATGGCTGTTTAAGAAAATCTCAAGAGATATAAATATATATAGTTTTTTTTTAATGATAACTAGACTTTCAGTTAGTTAACAATCCATTCAAATGATAACTCGTGAAGGTTTTAACTTTGGGGTGTATCTTAGTATAACTCTTATTTTCTGCTATTTTTCTTTTTTTATTTGTTTTTTCATTTACATTATTTTCACGACTTTAAAATGATCGAGAGTTTCTGTTTTCATGATTAGTTGAAATTAGACTTTAGCGCCATAAATTATAACAACTTTGAAGAAAAATAAATAAATAAATGACAAGAGTAACATGATTTTCATGTTCATTTAGCTTTGTTTTGTTTCTATCATTATAGTAAAATCTTTACAACCCAATATTTACCCAAAGAGAAAAACTTACAAATATTTGTAAAACCCAGTAAGTCGCGAAAACACGAAATATTCGAATAATGCTTTAAAGTCAATAAAATTAACTCCTTGTATTTTCTATCTTATTTAATACGGTTTGCAAAATGATTAGATTAGATTACAATTTTTTAAGAAAGGCCAATATAAAAACTGATTTAACAGTTTCATGGCTTAACGTTTCGGTAACATAGCAGCTTCGTTACAAAACTTGAACTAAGCCTAACGAACATATAAACTGCCAAACGCCTTCATATTTCTCAGTCAACTACAAATACGTAATGTACGAAACTATTATGACACACAAGGCTAAGTAATATATTTTTTTTAGTTTAGTGTATTTATCAGCTTTATTATTTCTTGACATTAATTATAAAATATAAAAACGATTGGTCAATGTCACGTTATGAAACAAAATATTAAAAACCCACTTTTTCCGTTATATGTACCACATATGCGAGTGAGATCAGGAAGCTCCAAATAGTCTTTATTACAGCGTCCGATACTGCTTTCTAAATCAAATTTGTTTATATCCAAGACGACAGAGCATATCGTAGGATCCGCACGTCGAATACTAAATATGCATTTTTCGTTAGGACCATAATCGTTAGGAAAGTCAGGAGATAATAATCTTCCACTTACTGTCACCACCTCAAGGTCGCAGCGCCTTCCTGCAATAAAAAAGTAAATAAATTATTGTATTACAAATTTATTTTTAGAATTAGGACGACGTTTCGATCACTGGTGCCATCATTCTCAAGTACATAAGTAGTGATCAAAACGCCGTACCTATTCTAAAAAGAAGTATTCCTTACTTTAAAGGTGTAATTTGTAATAAAATAATACTTAATCAGTAAGAAAACTCAAAATGAAAGTATTAAGAGTAAATTCATGTTTAACATCTATTATAATAATAATACTCAGTTTTGTCTGTCCTAAAAACGCGAGCGCACCTTACTATCTAAATGCACATGCGTGCGCTCTTTATTTCAATAGGTGTAAACAAAAAGTGGATGTAAATATATTTTACTACACATTTTGTACAACAAGATATTAAAAGCTTATCATAGTTTTTCAAAAGGTCTAACGCTAGGTCGTAGAATAACATTATAAGTTTGTTTATTTATTTTAAGTACGGTAAAGTTTAGCCCTTACTAAACTAAAGCAACAAACATACAGAAGTTACAGTGTTAATTTATCTTTTTTATCGAATATAGGCCGTATTAAATATAGGCTTACCTATTGTAGGCCTAAGACAAGTGGACTTGTAGATTTCGGTGTCTGCGATTAGAATTTATTTGTATTACTCTAGAAACCCTGTGTTTAAAGAATTACTGTTGCAATAAAGATATTAATTTGATCGAAAATATTTTTCGAGTCTCATCTAGTTAATTAATAATTTACTTTGAGTGCATTGTCAAGCTATTCACTTTTTAATTGACCACTAGATGGCATTACAGTCTAATATGCTTATTAGAATTGTTTGTTTGAAATTTAGCACAAAACTACACAATGGGCTATATGTATTCTACTCATCATGGGTATCGAAACCCGGTTTATAGCGTGTAATTCTGTAGACATACCGCTGTTCCACTGGGGGCTTATTAGAATTAAAATTACATTAAATATAAAAAATTACTTGTTTTTCTAGTAACTGAAGTCGCTTGTCATTCAATAAAATTTGATGTGTTGTTGATAAGCATTTTTAGGTAAGAATTTATATTAAATGCATAATTCTACATACACATAAACAACAAATGAACATACTGAAGCTTATTTTTAAAAACTCCAAATTTATTATTTTTCAGATTTTTTATGAAGTTCTATCATTACACACAAACACATACACACACTTGAGAATTTGGTTTATATTGCGTCTATCCTGTCAAATCTAACGTCATGTCATAATGTGAACATTTGAAAATAATAACACAATTCTGAAAAGCTCTCACTAGAAACCTTATTGTACATTTTACTTCTAAGAACATAACTAAAATAATACTTACTAGAGGGCGGTACAACTGCCAATCGGCAAGACTCCCGTAGTTGACGAACGACTATGTCGAAACCAGTTCCTGATCCATAGCTGTCACTAACAAATTTCATTATCAAAACGTTTTTATCGTGAGGAAAGTCAAATCTTTCTGTGAATAAAAATCAAAATTAAACATTTACTATTATAGGATAATAGTTTCTAATTTATATTGTACAATATATTTTGAAAGCATTTCAAAATTATCGATTTAAAACAAAATACTAATATTTAAAAATGAGACGGTCGAATTATAAAAGTATGGACAATTTTGTTAATATTTAGAATATAATGGTAATATATATATATATATAATTGTTATTATACTAGTATTTATTTACTTATTTGTGAGATTGCATGTAAACACGTTCTTTGACTACTTAATAATGTGCCTATTATTAAAAATGCCTACAGGTGGCGTTTAAACCTTTTTATATTGGTATAACCCTGGCGTCGTAAAGTCATGAGTTGCATCAGAATACAATATCAACAAAAACAAGTCCTTATAATTCTTCATTGTCAGAATTTTTAGTTAAAAATCCAACAAGTTCATTAAAACAACTTTATAAAGTGTTCCATACATAATCAACCATTTATGATATTCAAAATGGCTGACACTCTGTTTATAGTTCATTTTGAGAAATGTCTATACAGCATTACATACATCTTAACTCATTTGTTCTTTACTGAGCACGATTTCAATTATGTGTAAAAACTGAAAACATCAACGACGAATCTACATTACACGCGAATTATGATAACACCCTAATGACTAACGTCTGACTATTGTCACATGGATCCTCATGGATTTAGCAAACATGTTCGGTTTGTTTTTTTCTCATAAAAGTATTCACAGACCTTCATGGAGGGTTTCATCTGTTTTTCTTGATATTTAGACACTTGTTTTTACTAGTAAGGTTTGGTGTGGTAAATAATTGTCTTATTTACACTCAAAAGTAAAGAAACATATAAAAAATTTTAAATATTTTTTTATGAAGTTTTGTCTATCAAGGATTCTGCAGCAAAAGCTTGATGCGTTTACTGAAACATCTCTACATGTAAACCAGTTAGACACATAGACTGGCCGATTGTTCTGCGCTTTCCTTTTCTTATGTAAGCCGGGCGTGGCCTTGTGGTTAGCGTGCTCGGATTGTGCATCCGAAAGTTCGTTATTCGCAGCCCGTTGCTACAGCCCAATTTCGTTTAAAATCAAGTATATCAAATTCTAGCTCTACCCGACAAATGTGGAAATTAGCTCGAGGAATAATTGATACATATTGTTCCAAATGTGAGAATTAGCTCGAGGAATCATTGATACATATTGTTCCAAATGTGGGAATTAGCTCGAGGAATCATTGATACATATTGTTCCAAATGTGGGAATTAGCTCGAGGAATCATTGTTACATATTGTTCCAAATGTGGGAATTAGCTTATGTATCAATGATTCCTCGAGCTAATTCCCACATTTGGAACAATATGTATCAATTATTCCTCGTTGTTCCAAATGTGGAAATTAGCTCGAGGAATCATTGACACGTATTGATTTTTAATCCGTAAAGTCCAGAAAAATCAGGTGTTCTAATGTACTTTTGGGTCGTGTGCTCTATAAGAGAGATGTTCAACTCTATCATTCGATCAGACAAGGGTAGCCAAAGAATTTTCGATCAGTGCTGTTGACCAGCTCTCTTTCTTCTGACCTGTCAGTACAGAATGAGAGATGGCTATGTGTAGTTTTGCACGAACATCCTGAAACAAACTCTTGATTATTATTATCATTTTAGAATCCACCTGACGAGAACTCTGAAGATTTAAAAATAGCCCTTATGTAGCCTTGAATAAAGATTCTGAAACAAACTCTTTACTATTATTATTATTCTAAAGGCCATCTGGTGGCTTAGCGAGAAGCCTAAGGATAGCTTTACGATTTTTGAACAAACAATTATTTTTACAATGTATTTTAATATACCTCCATTCTAGTTCTTCTTTTCCATTCTTTCACAGCTTCTAAGTCATTTGCTGTTACAAAATAGGCTAAAATGCTTACTAAGATACTACACAGAATAGAATGGTCATCATGCGGAACATAAAACTGTTGTGTTGGTATGCAAGAGATGTCATTTCTGTTGGTGAATTTCGATATAAACTTAAACATAAACTTACAAACACCAAACCACTGTAGATCGGAAGTAGTAATTTGATGCATTTATTCTTACGTGTGTCTTTGTGTCTTCCATCACAGAGTCGAGATCTGTTCGGGAGCTCCAGAAAGTCTTTATCGCAACGACCCCAGCTTGGTTCCAGGTCAAATACTCGAAACTCGAGCTCCACCTGACAGATGTGAGAATCGGCACGATGAATGGAGAACACACATTCTTGGTTTGGCCCATAACGTCCAGGAAAACCGGGCGTTGTAATTCGGTCGATAAATCTGTCAATGTGCTGATCACAGTCGCGCCCTCCTGTGTTGATTATTAAAGATATGACTATAGAGGATTATTAAATGTATTATGAAATACCTAAAATCGCCTTATATTACATGAACACGTGGTCACGGAATGTTTTTGCATACAAGCTTAACATGTTTCTGGTTACGTCTATTAAGGCGAATGGATAAGAAAACACAACTGTTAACAGTTAGCTGAACAACTTCAGACACTCATTACTGGTGAAAGAATATAAAGACAAATCTATTTAAAAAAGTTATTAGATGAATAAAATATTGCCGAAAATAATAGGAAATAATCATCAATTCTATAATTCTAATAAACTAGGCTAGTAATGACTTAATTATAGTTTAGACGAATTATCATGCAAAAATCACGAATATTAGGCCTATTTGTTTTCAATTTTTCTTCAGTAACGTTTTGTTTCAGGGTTTTTAGAATGTTAAGAGTGTAAAAACAAAAAGTTGTGTATATATAATATCATTACTTGCTACTGCACTGATCCAGTTTTTAAAAAGTGTTTATTTCAGAGTCAATAATTTAGTTTTGCATGAACTTGTGTACAGAAAATAATAATACATTTAGAACACTTTCAGCTCAGACGTGGTAAATGGTAATATTGTAAGCTATGACTGTTAAGCCTCATTTTAAATTTGTAGCCTATTATATAAAGTCACGTTTCAAACTTCAACGTTAGTCGCTTGTTGTTTTGTCTACATCTGATTGACGTATACCTCTTTACTGTCATAGTAATTCTCCATTCTTGAAACTAGTGACATAAAAAAAAGCAGATAAATTACAATTACAAAACCAATAATTCGATTTTCTGAACGTAGGTCTTCGCCCCCTGACAAAATAAGGTTATCTTACAAAAGCACTCGGGTTATCGTTTTTTTTTTTTATTGTTTATATAAATAATAAGATTCATTAATACATCTATTGTTCCTTTTGAGGACGAACTATTCCTATATCTACAAAGAAAACAGTGTATGCAGACGGAACATATAAATTCTACTTTTCATACTGCAGATACTATCGGAAATAAGTTATTTAAAGAGGTAGGTTTTCACACGTCGTTTCTGTACAGCTAATCCGAAATAGAGAAAGAAAACAAACTATAGAGAGTGTCATTTAGGCTTTTGTTGACAAACCACTAGTTTACATGTTGTGATTGGGCCCGGCATGGTGGTTAGGACGCTCGACTCGCAATCTGAGGGTCGCGGGTTCGAATCCCCGTCACACCAAACATGCTCGCCCTTTCAGCCGTGGGGGTGTTATAATGTAACGATCAATCCCACTATTCGTTGGTAAAAAAAAGTAGCCCAAGAGTTGGCGGTGGGTGGTGATGACTAGCTGCCTTCCCTTTAATCTCTCACTGCTAAATTAGGGACGTCTAATGCAGATAGCCCTCGTGTAGCTTTGCGCGAAATTCAAAAACAAACAAACAATCCCCACCTAATGTTCTAATATCTTCGTCTGAACAAGAGTTTCGGATTTGTTTCAGTTGTATCATGAATCCTTTTCGGTGATTAACTCCATCGCTTTTAAACTGCAACGTCAAACTTCTCTTCCCTGGTAAAAACTTCAGTTTCTCTATTAAAAAATATATAAACGACGTTTCAGTTATTGTTGTTACATGTCATTTATTGTAATATTTGCTACATTAATGCGAAAATACAATTTCATGATATTTATCATTGCAAGTAAAAACAATTAACTCATGGTAAATTGTAATCTATGTTTCAAAAAACATTTTCAAATTTTCGTAAGGTCACAATTCTTGATTCTTCCATTTTTGTTCCAAAAAAAAAGAAGCTCTCTCTAAAGTATTTTGCATAAATGAATTAGCCTAATGTGTTTAATGATTAACCAACCACTTTAAAATAAGAATGTTGATATGCTTTTATTTTATTGTTGTTTTGACATAGATCACCTTTTCTTTCTTCTTTTTTTTTTTCTTTTACAAGTTCCTTGAGAGAATCATAAAATACTTACTCTAGGTCCCAGACAAAGTTCCTTGAGAGAATTATAAAATACTTACTTACGGTCCCAGACAAAGTTCCTTGAGAGAATTATAAAATACTTACTTACGGTCCCAGACAAAGTTCCTTGAGAAAATTATAAAATACTTACTCTCGGTCCCAGACAAAGTTCCTTGAGAGAATCATAAAATACTTACTCTAGGTCCCAGACAAAGTTCCTTGAGAGAATTATAAAATACTTACTCTCGGTCCCAGACAAAGTTCTTGAGAGAATTATAAAATACTTACTCTCGGTCCCAGACAAAGTTCCTTGAGAGAATCATAAAATACCTACTCTCGGTCCCAGACAAAGTTCCTTGAGAGAATTATAAAATACTTACTCTCGGTCCCAGACATTAAACTACCGCATATTTTCTGACCAGAAATCTCCACGTTCAGATCAAGATAATCTCCCCGACAACCAGTGGTCTCCTCCAAATCAAAATCAACAATTATCATGTCTACTGCACAGATGTCGTTACTGAAACGCTGGATGATGTAAGTACAAGATCGAAGATCATCATATTCCAAAGGGTAATTTGGTGTGGAAATCCACCCTTCCAATTTGTTGACAGTAACATCACAGTGTGTGACTTAAAGAAGAAAAAAAAAGGTATTATATATTTCAAAATGTTAACATATTATTATACATATTTATATTTACAGTTTCTGGTACTAAGCTAAACTTCTTGCAAATATGATTGGATAACACAAACTAAGTCTCGTTTGTGTATATTTTAATTTTATTCCAATCAAATTGTTTGAAATATGTTATTGGTCTCGTTTCGGAAACCTAAGTTATAATCAAGTTTATAACATATAATATAGGTGTAATATATATCGGATAAAATTGATAAAATTAAATATAATTAAACTGTTTTCGCTCTCGTAAGTAGTTATAAGTGACTTTTGTTTTATACTCTGTTTAATCACGACTAAAGAATAAAATGTTAATCTAAATAATACTAAAACATGTGAGTAATGTCTGCTTATTATTTTATGTATATACGTGTTATTACTATTATTTAATTAAGTCTCAGTTCTAACTGTTAGAATTTCTGTTCCCACTACTAATCTGAGAAATAATTCTGAGAGCTTATAACGCTAAATAATCGGGTTTCAATACCCGCGGTGGGCAGAGCACGGATAGCCCATAGTGTACATTTACCCTTAACATCAAATAAAACAAGCGAAACCAATGTTAACTCAGCTGCTGTATTATGTGCATTCAGTTGTGTGGACCAGCATGCATTTCACATAAGCCGCTGGTGTATCGTACAGAAACAAAGCTTGTAGTAAATGTAAATTTAATTACATTTTTTAATATTTCACGTTTGGTATGGTAAGTTTACTAATAGGTTATCAAGTACGTTTGTTGTTATTTTTTTCTTTCATATTTTGGAACAGTTGCGACATCTAGGTGTGAAAATGTTCCTCAACCCAAGATTCACACTGTAAAGAAAAAAAACAACCTTGAGTTCCTCGTTTGCAATGAAGAAAGAAAAGAACCGGACTAACCTGTTCTGGGATTCCTGAATTCATCCTGTAATACAAAACATGCAAAGTTGAGAAATAATACAAAAAGGAAGAGACTATAAAACTAATTAAAGGAAGAGACTATAAAACTAATTTAAGCTAATTAACCGTTTTTATTTATTGTTGCTAACATTTCCGGCCGGGCAATGATTTAAAGTTTTGTTGAATAAATGGATATTAATTGGTAGTTTCTTACAAAACTGTCAAGATTATTCTGTTATTCTTAAAATCTGGCCCCCTGGTGAGTCACTGGTAAGCTTGAGAGGTCTTAACTATAGAATTCTGGGTATTCTCTTTGCATTAAATGCAGCACAGACAGCCAACTCTGCAATTTTGAGCTAAATCAAATTAAAAAATCCGTAGGGAGTAATTTTTCGTGTAAATCATTTCTATTAAATGTTGTCTGAATTAAATTAAGTGGCGTCATCTGTATGAAGTATTTTAAAAAACAATAATAATGTTAATATCAAACCGGATATTATATTAGGGAGAAAAGGCCTAACTTTCATGACTTTGAATTAAGTTAACTGAAAGAAAGAGGCTGAACACAAAACTGTTTTGATCAACAATTTTTACTGGCAAACACGAATCAAAGTTGAAATTAAATACTGGCAAGTGTTTAGTGTGCTGTGAAGAACTGGGAGAGGGGGAGAAAACCCTTTAACAAGTCTCTCTCTGAACATTTCTGGTTTTAAGTTAAGCTAGAAAAAAACAAGTGGAAACTAAAACACAAAATAAATAGTCTTTAAATCTTTATATGTAACAGCTTAAAATCTAAATACTAATAAACTAGAAGTCTATCATAAATAAAAACTGTCACAACCTTTTGGAGTTGCAAAATTTGTCTGAAACAAAGAATCTCAAACAGTTTCACCAAAATCTGACTAGCATGAACAATGGAGTGCAAAATTTGTCTAAAACAAAGATTGTTTGTTTTGAAGTTAAGCACAAAGCTACACAATGGGCTATTTGTGCTCTGCCCACCACGGGTATCGAAACCCGGTTTATAGCGTTGTAAGTCCGCAGACATACTGCTGTGCCACTGAGGGGCCTAAAATAAAGAATCTCAAACAGTTTCACCAAAATCTGACTAGCATGAACAATGGAGTGCAAAATTTGTCTAAAACAAAGATTGTTTGTTTTGAAGTTAAGCACAAAGCTACACAATGGGCTATTTGTGCTCTGCCCACCACGGATATCGAAACCCGTTGTAAGTCCGCAGACATACCGCTGTGCCACTGAGGGGTCTAAAATAAAGAATCTCAAACAGTTTCACCAAAATCTGACTAGCATGAACAATGGGGTGAAAAATCTATTCAACGAAAAAAAAAAAAAACTCACTTAAACAAAGATCTCTCTAAAACAAACACGTGCCTAACGGCCATTCTCGTGTCACCAAGGTGGTATCAAGGCTTTATTATGAGAAAGTATTAATATTGCCAGTTGTAACATATTTCATGCTACAGTAATTTTTGCTTTGGGGGAACATCGTGATTCAATCAGACCCACTAATAACTAAAGTGAGAGAAACATGGTAGATCTCTTAACCCATGTTCTATAGTAAAACAAACACAAAGTATTGAGGGGACAGGAAACACGTGGTAACTCAGCATATCACAACAGAAAAAAATGTTATGGTGTGTTTTCTTAGTAAGGGTTAACTTAACTATCAGTATATCTTAAATCTTAAGATCGTTTAGAACCGAGTTTATGCTAAACTTCAATCAAAATATCTAAACTAGGGATTAATGACTCTCTTCAGATGTAAGAATGCTACTAGGGACACAATAAATACACAAGTTTTAACGGTAAAGAAATAAACTTGTGTACTTATGAATGATCGTACCAGTAATCTAAACGTCTTATCTGTTCTAAAAAATAATCTTCCTTACTGTAAAAGCTGCAACTTGTAATAAAATAATATTTAATCAGTCAGTAAAATCAAAACGAAACTCTTTACTTTCGATGACGAGGAACCCACTTTGAGACTAATAATGGCTGGAGACGGCTTGAATGGGTAATGAAGAAAA